CCGCGGGTGACCGTCTTTGAGTAACGCTCCTTTCTCCCCTTTCCGTTCTCAGCTTTAATCACTTACTGCAAATATTTCTACTAATTATAAAATAGCTAATACATCTTAATTACTGGCAGCTCCTCAGTTCCACCAGGGCTCAGCAGGGGCAAACCAGCTGTAATTACTGAGCTGTTGCTGACAAAAATTATTTCCTTCCCAGCAAAAACACTTTAAAATCCTTTTGAGCTCTTACGTGACCCTGCTGGGGATGGAAAAGAGGGTTGAGAAATACTGGTCTATGTGAATATCAGCAAGTTATCTGTAAAGGCTGATTTGGAAACAAGGAATTTCTTTCATTTAAGAAATAAGGTGTTGCCCAGGGTAGCAGATGAAGAGAAAGCATGAGTTTGTTTCCAGAGAACCTCTACATTATAAACAGCAGAAATTATTGTGCCACCATAGCATTTAAGGTAAAGGTCTGCAAAAACCTCCCTCTCCACGGGAGCTATTCAAACACATCTCTCTGTGTCACATGAAATACACCTTTATTTTTCCATATTGTATAAACAAGTAGAAGTCAGTATTACCTAGAGGACTAGAAACTACATCAGACAAGTTACATGGCTCTCTAATTCATTATGGCAAGGCAATTAATCTTTGTGTTTAACTTCCCCCAGCTGCAAAAGGGGAAGGGCCAAACCTGCATTGTAGGGGTGATGGAGGACTTGTACAGGATTTAATAGAGTTGTACCAATGTTTATTTATTACAAATGTAAATATTGCACATCAATACAAATTTAACAACTTATTTTTAAGTTTGGGGTAACAAATCCACAGCTACTAAGACACAGATTCAGTGCCCTTGGATATCACATAGCAGAATCAGAACTTTTTGAGGTCTCAGTTGTGCTGCAAAAGGTCCTTGCCCCGAGGCTCCCCACTGCGGGCCCTGCGCAGCTGTGGCACACAGCAAAGCAATTTATTCCGTTCAGTAAGGACCAGAAGTGCCGGCGGGTGTTTGAACATCTTGCCGTGGTTCTGCAGGGCGCTGCAGGGGAATTTCCCCACATGAGTCATGAAACCGAGCAGAGGCTTTGGGTTGAGCGCAGGAGGTGCAGCGAGGTCTGCACTTAAAACAACGGCCGAGGAAGAAAACATGACCTTGGTGCCTTTGGGCTCCCATGTAATCCATTTACACAATGAACCACTTGTGCACAGTAATCAGGTGCTGCTTTAGCACAGCAAAGTAATGCAGATTGCGCCTGGAAGGTTTTTCATTAAATTGCTCTTGACTAGAAAGCACTTAAATGTTTTATTCCAATGGGTGTATAGGTGACACTAAGCACAAGTTAGAAGCTGATGGGAAGAAATGGACGACAACCAGCACACTGACAGTCCTCGCCTATGGGCCCAATTCAACAGCCAGCTGCATCGTTCACCACCAAGCACTAGGAGAAGAGAAGCTGATGGCGTCTCTCCGGTTTGAGGACCTCCCTAGGATGGGTACTGCAGGCTCCTTCAGCAGAGGCTATCCCATTTTACCACGCTGAAGTGGTGAAAGTTATGCAGATACATATGCAAAGCTGAAGCCCATAGTCTAACTGCCCCATGTGTGGAATCCATTTTTAAACGAGAGGGCTACCTGGGGCAAAAGAAGAACTCCAAACTAAGATTTTTTGGCCTTTTTTCCTGCTTCTTAACTACCTTAAAAATCATTAATCATTAAGCTGCAGCAGCCCAGGCAAGTCAGTTCCCCAATGCTGCTGCTAGAATGCAGGTGATGTTTGTCCTAAAGCTTTAAAGATAACTCAAAGTTTATGTTCTCAAAAAAGCTGTGATCTTCCCATGTCTTCTGTGTATTAGACACATCCACCTGGAAAGCTAGCAGGGTGTAAATATTGTAAATTAACACTGAAGCTGTTTGTCTAATAATTCTCAGAGTTGAGTTTGCTTTCCACCTATTTACTCATCTTTAGGATGGATCTAATTATTCTTACTTCATTCTTCTTTAGCTTGCTCAATGCAACAAATGCTTATAAAGTGCTCTGAAAGTTGTACTGTTGTTGGATTTTTTTCAGTGACAAAACCAAATCCTACACCAGCTGTGCTAGAGGTGAATACACATGTCTCTGAGAACGAGCAATCTACAGGTAGGCATTAACTGCTTGGCCACTTTTTAATTAATGCACAGCTCAGGTAAACACAGCATCTATGACCAGGTGCCATCAGCACCGAGGGACATTTTGCACAGCCCTCAGAACCACTTTGATTTTTTCCCCAGTGACCGCAGCAGTGTCAGATCTGAACAGCAGCACAGCCTCCGCTCCAATCTACCCACAGCATACTGGTAAGGGTTTCACTTCTGCTTTTTTCCTCATTTCATAGCGTTAAATATACTCAGAGGACAGGGGAGCTGAAGGTGGGAGGGTAGGACTGTATCAGATAGAACCACTGATCAGATAGAACACCCAAACAGTCCAGAGCATGGAACATCCAGGGCAGGTTTCGTTTTTCAAGGATCAGTTCAACGGCAAAGTATGTCTTCTGATTTTTGTCTTGTGTTTGGGGGGGGGTCCTTTAGGATCCAAACAACCAGCCATCCCTTCTGCAGTACCACAGGATCCTGTAGCTACCAGCTCAGCGTCAACACCAACCCCACAAAACCTCCAACCAGATGTCACATCTACTTGTAAGTTTGGTCTTAGTTACATGAATTTACCAAACCGGGACAGAAATGCTACCGAGAACAGCGTAAAATTCCATGTTACAAACCAGCACGTAACATAACAGCATTTCTTGCTTGTGCAGAGAGCCCTCAGTTTTACAGCCATGAAAGCAGACAAAGTCTCTCTCGTTAGATGCAGAAGAACATCTATCACAGCGTGGTGTGAGCCCAGGCTGGGATTTCTCTGGACGGTTGCACTAGATGGCACTGTGCAACAACGGTTATCTGTGCACATAGCAGGCTGCAGGTTGCAGTTACTGAACTGAGTTGTTTCCAGCAGAAGAATTAAGAGCTCCACTGCCCAAATCGGTTGGCCAAAACCCACCAAGGTGGGCACACGCACCTGCTGAGTGTGACAGGCCCTGCAGTGAAAAATCAACTGGCTGTTTTAGAAATAGTGAAAACTCTGTTTATATTTTTTTAAAAGTGCTACATCAGTGATTACAAACATCACAGAATGGCAACATCCCGATAAACAATTCATACATATGTTGATAAACATAGGAGAGGGAGCCTGAATCTTTTAAGAGGACTTTTACTAGGTGTGCTTACGTACCTGATAAGGAAGAAAATCTCTTACGAATGTAAAGTTTTAGTAGACACAGCATGCATTATCATTTTAGTTTTACAAATCAAAGTTAATTATACAAGGATGTAGTGTCTGTGTGCGTAAGAAAGTCAGAGCCCACCTCTCTGCGCAGGGTCCGAAGTAACGCCAGCTGCACCAGGAAAGGAATTGGCCAGCTTGTCGACTTACCACGTCCCCAACGGTACGACCTTACATCATCAGACATGGGTGGCAGTGGCAAAGGACAGGGATTCTGACACTGGGTGACTGCGCTGCTGTGAGCTACGAAGACAGTAAAAGAGCAGTCACGGATATGAATACCAAGAAAAATATCTGCTTTAAGGAAAATGATACATGCTCATTCCTGGTTTTGCAAGCAAGAGAAGCAAACTGATGGACAGGGAAAGCCCCAAAATGACCAAAGCTCAGCTTTGTTTTAATTTGGCTGTAAATGGGAACCATTGAGTTCAACAGAGTGTAAGAGACTCTGAGGATTTGCTGTTCATAAAGCTTAGGTGGTCTTCAGATTAAAACGAAATACAGCATTAAGGAAGTGAGCACAGAGCTTTAAGTCAAGGGCTCCAGAAGTCTCTTTCTGCTGCAGTACTAGGTGCCCCAGACTTCAAAGCTGCTGGGAAAATAAGCATTTCTTAGGCATCCCTTTGCCCTTCAGAGAGATATTGTTCTCCTTTCCATTCCTCCAGGGTCTGAAACAGCATTCAATGGCAATGTGACAGAAGAGGAACTTTCCCGGACAGAAGCCCCACTACCAAGTGAAAATGTAACTGTGATTTCCATCATCACTTTCGGTACGAACTCTTTAATGACAGCTTCCAAACATGCAATGAGCTTTCTTACACCAAGCTTGTTCTCTCTGACCACGTATCCACCTCCAAACCTTTTGTCAGTACACTAGGGTAATGCTGGCTTGCAATCTTGGGGAAAGACCACAGAAACACAAACATTTTTATCATCTAGAAAAAACGCTAAATTTTACTGTTTGTTATGCCAGAGCAAGAGTCCACTGATTTCAATCAGTTTTTCTTGTTCATACAAGAAGGAAAAATTTGACCTCACCTTCTAAAACTAAGTCCAGTAAGGTGACTTCTGCTCTCCCACCATGTTCATCTGGCCTGGTCCAGGATATATCATTCTTCTCTTAATTACCAGAGACTCACAGAAAGCTATTTAACAACACAAACATACACCTGCCTTTTTTACAGAGCGAGATCTGAAACCTGAAGGCATCAAAAAGAAGGAGAATAATCTCTTGCTGCCGATCTTGGTGGCTGCTCTGATTTTCGTGCTGCTCATCATTGTCCTGCTTTTTATGTGGAAGCTGAAAAAAGCTCATGGAGTGTGGAAGAGAGGTGGGTGATGGCCCTGTCCAAGTGACTGCTGATGCTGCTTTATTCAGAGGGGCTGGAGAGCTGAGGAGCCTGTTAAGCAGAGACAAGACACAGCTCCTCCAGCCACCGATTAAATGTCCTTCTCCCATAGACAGGGACTGTGACTTGTTGCAAACAACTATTGAAGAGTCCCTGTAACTGATGGCCTTGGGCCACACTTCAAATGACACGAGGTACCACAAAAGCCAACAAAATAGTTGTCTTAAGAATCTCTCTTAGATGATCAGGATGATTGAACCCCCATTTTATAACTAGTCTCTTGGGATTTTTATGCTCAAGGCAGAGAGTGAGGAAGAGTCATGGAAAAATCTCATCATCTTAATTACATTTTTTTTCTGCACAGAAAATGATGTTTCAGAGCAGACACTGGAGAGTTACAAATCCAAATCTAATGAAGACAGTCTGGGCCATGAGAAGAACGGACACGGTAAAAACTAACCAACATAACTAATTCCTGTTAGAGCATTGCTACTGACCACAGCCCGAGCAGATTGCAGTCAATCTTACTTTACAGAGATATTTGCAGATTGCATGTTTTAAACCTGAATATTCTAAACCCAAACCTTTCATACCTGGAGGTTCACCACAGGTATTATAGCTTCAGCAAGAGTGATGCAGAACCATACAAAATGAAAATCATTGCTTTTTATTTGATAGGTTAGACTGGATAATCACAATGGGTTTATCTAGTTTCTAAATATAATCTACTGAAACACTATTAAAAACAATATGAGTGGTATGTACCAGGAATGCTACTATTGTTAAACTGTCCTGAATGGCTCTTACCTGATTTCACCACCACCAAAACATCAGGGCATCATCAGTCCTGTCCTCAGCCAGTGACTACAGATGGAGGCAGTCTGACTGCCTCCTCAGCTGGGGTATTTCTGCTCCACACTTGGACTTTTGTCTAAACTAAGGCAGCTTTCGGCAGATGGATAAGCCCACATCTTTCAACATGAGTTTCCTGTAGCACCTAAACTGCATTAAAAGAGAAAGTGGCTCGTAATTATTGTCAAAATACTTTCAAAACTTTCCTTCTTTTTAAAATATTTTTAAATACAAAATATTGAAACCATGCAGGTACCCACCCCCCTCTTTACAAAATCAGTAATAAATGTGTGTTTATCTTTCAGTTGTCAGTCCGAAGTCCAATGTGCAGTATGTAACAGAAGCATATACAGAAACAACACAGAAGAATCCAGGAGACAAAAACACTGCAATAAGTGAGAAATGGTTTGGATGTGGAAAGGAAACGGATGTGTAGCAATGGCAAATCTGTACCATGTGCAGAAACACCAATGTTTCCTGATATTTATATTACAGCGTTCAGATATCAATATAATTTCAAGGAGCAGAAGTACAAACAGCTACCCTGAATCCAAAAGCCAATTTGAACTGCTTTTCCTTAAACAGTGGGACAGGTAGATGGGACTGGTGCTCTAGAAACCTGTTAGCAATGAACGCTCCAATTTGCCTTTAATCCTCAGAGGATTTAATTAACCACTGCCAGAAATAGAGCTCATCGATCCCACCTCAGGTCCTCTCAGCAGTTAGATCCCTGGCAAGGGAACGTGCAATTAGCCCCGAGGACTGCAGGATATGAAGATATTCATGGAATGCTTGGGCCACCTCCTTTGCAAGCGCGGGACTGAGCAGGAAACCCTAGGAGGTGCAAACCAACTTGGACTTTTATCTCATTCCGACCCCAAACCTGGACATGCAGCTGCATTTAACCTCTCTACAGCTACCTGAAAGGAGGTTGTAGTCAGGTGGGTGTTGGTCTCTTCTCCCAAGTAACTAGCGATAGGACGAGAGGAAATGGGCTCAAGCTGCATCAGGGGAGGTTTAGGTTGGATATTAGGAAAAATTTCTCCACGGAAAGAGGGG